GATATTTTCTAGTTGCTATAGATTACTGGTGCTTGTTCCTTTGCCATTTCTGTTATTAACCCTGATGATGCCAAAGTATGCTGCAGAATAGGGCTTGGTTATACTAGCTCTTCTCTTTCTTTCTTTCTTTCTTTTTTTTTTCCTACTTAGGTGACTGTAGCCTGTTGATTCGAAGCAATTGGTGGGTTAGAAAGGCCTGATTGTTCTTGTTGCTAATACAAGAATAGTGAAGAAACAATTTATTCAGCTAATAAATTTTCATGCACTCAGGCTTCAGCTTATGGAAATGGCTTGTTAATTTATAGAACTCTTTGTTAATACACTTATATGATCTAATGCATGAAAATTAAGCAAGAATTCTATGGATTAATGAGCCATTTCCATTTGAGGCAATAAGCTGTTTGGGTTTGACTGAAGTAAGCTTCTTTGTTGCCTGTGTATCACTTTTAGCTATTCAGTGAGTATAATTTGAAACATATATTTTCTCTCTTTTTTTTTCCCCATAAATAGCTTCCTTAACTATCTGACTTCAATCCTCTTGTGAAGTACCACACCATCTGGTAGACATATTGGATCCATTTGAAGGTATGTTTCTGGCAACATCAGATAATATCAATAAACTATGTTACGCATTCTGTTTATCGTAGAGATTGTTCACCTTCCTAAGTTTCTGAAAGTTTCATTTTTCAATATTAAAAACTGAGTTTTATTCTATTTATTAGTTCAGACTATTCTGTAGGACAAATTTTTGAGGATGCCAGGCAAGCAACAAGAGATGTTCTTGACAGTGGCCATGTTCCTATAGCCACAGGTGGAACTGGCTTGTATTTACGATGGTATGTTCCTAGATATACTTTTGCCCAGGGGAGCTTTGTTAAGTTGCTGTGCTTCATCTTTTTCTTCAATATAACTTTCTGATCTCTATAAACTAACCTCTTTGCAACAAAGTCTGCATTTTCTCTTTGATTCTCCTGGCTTCCTCAATTGGGTAGTGTTGCTTCATATTGTGCTTTAAATACTTTCTGAAGTGCATTTTCTCTTAAGATAATACTTCTTGTGATTTTATAGGCTGGCCTGGCATGTTCTGGTTGAATTTTCTTTCTCAGGAGTTATTGTAAAATAACATATATGGAGTTGTTTGCTATGATCTCTTCTTTTTGCTATTAGGTTTGTATATGGAAAACCAGATGTTCCAAAAGCTTCTACAGAAATTGCAGCTGTAGTACATGCAGAGATAGCAGATTTTGAGAGAGATGGGGAATGGGATGCTGCTGTGGAAATGGTCGTTAAGGCAGGAGATCCAAAAGCTAGGTCATTGCCTGTCAACAAGTGATATTGATTTTGTCGCAGCCTTGAGATAATCAAGGTCAGTGATAATGGTTTAAAGGTCTTTGTATCCTCGCAGCCATTTGCAATCCCACCCCTTTGAGTACAGAGATGCATGGTGACGTTTGCATATAGGCCATATCATGTATGTTGCTTTGGAAAAAATTCATTTAAGAATAAACTTGTTATTTTATTTTTTATTTTTTGTTCTCTGAAACATCCTAATTTTGTCTTGTAGTTCAGTGAGTTAAATATTGTGATGAGATTTTCTTCTGTTTGACTCACATATGAAGGGCGATAGCTCAGACATCTCCATCATATGTGCTCACGTTTCTTGATTGTATTTCTTGGTATGGCAGTCTACTGGATCACCTCCATCTGCCTTTCATATACCATATGATTCTTTCAAACAACAATTTGATTCAAGTGGAACAAATGATTCTCACAACTTGAACCCTTCTTGTGTTGTACCTGAGAAAGTTACCGCAAAGGAATTGGACTATGAGTTCGTTTGTTTTTTCCTTTCAAGCCCCAGACTTGATCTGTATAGATTAATTGACTTAAGGTGTGAAGAAATGCTTACAGGCAACCTGAGACTTAATTGTATAGCTTGTGAGCTCTTCTCACATAACATTTACAACTATGATTATTGACCCTACCATCACATGTAAATTTTTTATGACTGAACCTGTTACTAATCTTATATTTCATGTGGGCCATGTTTGTATTTTGATTTCAGTAGGAACAGATGGGATCTTGTCTGAAGCTAGATGGCTTAGTCCAAATTCAAACTCAGCAACTCGAGCGATTGGTTACAGACGTGTATGTCCTTGTTAACCGTATTGCTTTTCCTCTTCATTATGTATCAATCTCCAGGATATGCAAACGATGGCTAACTTCGAAGTTCATTTCTTGATCCCCCAGAATGCTTATTTTTGTGAAGTGCTTCAGTTTCTTTGTTCGAGTCAATTCCCTTATAAAGTAAATACTCAAATACTCTTTTAAGGCTATTATAAAGTTCTTCTGAATTACCTTAGTTATGATCATATATATGAAATAACAATTTGGGAAATGTTAAAACAGAAGCCCTATAAATGCACCACATCATCTTGAAAGAACACACGTTCTTAATTTCTACATCTAGTTAGTTTCATTGATAAATAAATAATAAACTAGGTGGATGGAGAGCGGAAGGGGAAAAGGGGATAAAGGACTAAAGGGAAGGATTCTCGTAATATTATTCCCATAAAGACTATAATTTTCTCATTTTCTTAGCTTTTTGTTTTATTGGCTGGTATTCTCATTTTCTTTTTATTCACATATAAGAGTGTTTTATTTTTTTATATATAATTAATGATAAATGATATGTGCCTGTTTAGTGCAGCTGGTGAAAAATGCTTTTAAAGTTCAAAAGCTTCAGTTGCACGAACATCCTTCTTAGTCTGTGTTTGGTAGAGCTGCTGAAAAATCCTTTTCAGTTGTAGAATCACAAGCTGTACCAAACAGCTCCAGCAGATGAAAAGGTCTTTTGAGCTTTTGGGAAGTGAAAAATGGAGAAGCAAAAAATTTGTGCTTTTGGGTGAGCTTCTCCGCATCTTTAATGAAAATTATCATCTTCCTATTTTGCCCATCATTCTTTCACATATTTACAACTAAAACTGCAATATATACACCACGAATTATAACAAATCCCTAACCCCACAACGTTGCGAGCCCCTTCTCCTCCCCTTCTGCATCTTTGAAAATCCGAACAGGAGGAAGGAGACAACCTCCCCTCACTCCCCCTCCCTTATTATCTTCCCCATCCCTTCTCCTCCCTTTCTGTCCTACACCTCCAATCCAAACAGTATGTAAGAAAATCGATTGGAATCTCATGGAGAACAAGAACAGCACCAGCACTAGCAATGGGAAATCAGGGTTTGGAGATTGGGCCTGCTTGATTCTCTCTTTCTCTCTCTCTCGCCTTTTTTTTTCTTTTGTTGGTTTGATTCACTCAAATCTATATATTTTTTTTCCTTTGTGCCAGGGTTTTGATTTCCAAATTATAGTGGCAACCGTCGATGAGATGTGAAGGGATCGGAATTTGGTGAGGTCAGAGGTTTCTCACCTTTTTAATGTCAATTTAAGCAATATATTCTCTGCTTCTCTAAATTTTCTACTCTTATTTGTATGCTTTTCAGTATTCCATCTTCTAAGCGGTAGCTTGATGCTAGTTTCCTCAGAATTCTATACAAGACAGTTATAAATTTCGATTTATACACAAGAG